CGACAGTGCTAACCACCGAGCCGCCTTGCAGCCCGTACTTTAATCAGATATACAGTCAGTTGTTTAAACTGTTTAAGTAAATTAACGTATAAAGATACAGTAAAATACAACAACTACAGCTGCTAGCATGAATTTGGGAATTTGTGGGGATGCATTTGCTCCATTGGCTCAGGCGTCTACACTTGTACTAACTGAGGGCTTGCCAGTTGACTTGTGCACTGATTGCCCTTTCGCATCAATTCGTTGGGAAATGGATAAGTGCGGTGTGTTGGTGGTCATAAGTCGTGCTTCGTGTGGGGATTTTGCCGAAGTTGAATGTGTGAAAGATAAGGCCAGAAGAGTGACAGACAGGAAGAGAGATGTTGACTCTGGCTGCTGTGTCGGCTGTTATTTTTCTACATGCCAGCTCGTCTTCTGGCGACCTTCTCTTTCTGTGTGCCAACCGTGCCCCTGAGCCCTCTGCCTGAATATGGATGCCCTGCTCACTTAAACACCCTGGCATTGCTCCCGCTTCCCTCCTCTTCTCTCTGTCTCCAGCTCAGACTTCATTTTTCTCACCTTCCTCATCACCTTCAGTCTTTTTTTTTTTGTGTTGTTGGCAGGGTGAGAAACTTCACTCTTCCATGCTGGTGAACTATCAAAGTGCAACTGCAAAGTGGTTAAAAAAAATGTTCTTTACTGTGTGGTACCTGTAGCTGTCTGCATTGTAAGTGTGATTTTTCACACAGTTTTATTCTAATTTTCTTAAAACATCCATGAAATCTGTGCAGTCTACTTCCACTAAAGTTGAGCTACGACTCCTATGTTGCTAATCTTTCTTTCATGCCAGTCTTTTTCATCGCTCATCCTTCTTTTCCCGTCGGATATCTCAGTTGCACCGACCCCCTCTGCCGCTGCCCAGCTCTTTTTGGTATTCTGGCAGAGTGGCTGCACTCCCACCACAGCGGCCAGCTCGCTGAAAGAGTGAGCACCAGCGATCTGACCTGCAGTTGATTCTCTGCCAGTGCAGGTTTTCTGATGCGCCACTGGAGATGGCAGCATGGCATTAGCTGAGCTCAGCAGACACACACACATGCCTTCATCATCATCGCTGCCTCTATGCATGCACACATTCACACAGTCGCCTCACTGTCACGGCTGAGCGCTGAAGAAGTCACACCTCTCTTCCTCTTTTCCCCGAGTCTGCCCGGGCTTCTTTCAGCATTCCCTCTCACCTCTCTTCAACTCTTGGCTTCCTTCTCCCTCCGTCTCTCTCTGCTGCCAGCCTCTCTCCTCGCCCCCCCAGTGTAGCTTAAGATTCTGCCACTGGGGCGGTCCTCACTCATCACTGGTAGCCTTGTTTCATACCCAAATAACACAACTTCACAAGTCGTTTCTGTGCCTCGGGACTTCACCTGGGTCTCACATACCAGGTCTATCAAACATGCTTAAAGGACATGAAAGAGTGTGTGAAAGTCAGCGGAGAAAGAAGACTTTTCGAAGATTTCTGCGAAGGATCCTTGTACTAATTTTACTGCCTTGTGTCTCAGCAGCTACAAATGTGTATGAAGGTCACAAAAGTCTGACTCTATTTTTAAACCTGCTCAGATTTGCTCTGAGATATCTTTGGTCTACAAACTCTGTTTTGAATATGCTTAGATTCTGTTACGCACAGTGGCAGAACAATGAATAAAGTAATGTTATAAAAAGCGGAGTCCATGGATTTGTAAATTTTTTGAATTGGCTTGCACTCGTGCTTCCATGTGTGTGTTTGCATGGTGATTCCTGTCAGCTACTTGTGCGTACGCAGCCTCTAGAGGCAGGGGATTACAGTGAAGGGCCCCCTGCATGAGCAGTGATGGGAGTAACTGCATATGCACTGCACTCCTCCACCAATCCGCTCTTTGGCTGCCTGGTCTCTCAGATCCAAACAGGGGATTTGACGCAGGATCTTACAGCAGCATTGACACTTCATCTTAGTGCTTCCCACTGTGATCTGTCAGCAGATCTCCTGTCGGGATCTCTACGCAAGAGCAGCCTGAAGGCAAGTCTGTTTGAAGTACCACGACTAAACTTATGTAGTGTGCACACACTTGCAGAGGTATGAGCCCGAGAGGTGATGACCTCTTGGTATGTGGTAGCTTTTAGCCAGCTCCATCAGCTTTTATCAAAGGTCTTCAAGAAGAGATTTCATTTAACACGATTTAAAGGTTGTCTTTACCATTTTTCATTGTCTGGCATTAACACCTGAATTGAATGTGGATTGTGAATGCATAAAGATTGTCTGCATGTTCTGCAGAAGTCTTAAATTTCATAAATGCCAATGATGATCGTGAGCACTTAATAGCTGCTGAGTAATAAATTAGGCTTAAAGCATTTGTATAGTTTTTTTTTGCGGTGAGCATTCAGGCCGCTCTAAAAAGCACTGGTTCAGATTTTCATATAGCGAATAATTGTACATTTCACCTCATAGTATTTCATATTTTTGAGCTGTCAAAACATTTACATTTTACTCATCCTTATGTCCAGCTTAAAATATCTTTTTCTGATCACCTGCCAGGCACACCATCGGTTTATACTTGAAGCAAATAACGATTATCTTGTGACATGTCGAGGTCTGGTATAGATTAGATGGTAAGCAAACATTCAAAACATGGTTCCGAAGGTCAGTATGTTTTATATGGGAGAAATGGACAGGCAGAAAGACCTGAGTGACCTTGACAAGCAGCAAACCTCCGAGGCTGAATAAATTCAAAACTGCAATTCCTCCTATGACCACTTGAGGCTGTTTCCAAAAGTGAGTCAATCCCCAGAGATCTCTATGTTAAAATACTCAACTTTACAGAGAAAAGACTCACGTTTAAAGCCTGCTAAAAATAACAGTTTTTGTCTCTGTAGCTAATTTCCCCATTTGTGACAATTATACAAGAGGTGAATTTTTATCCAACTCATCCATTTAAATTGTATTAAGGCTTAAAGTTATGCGTAATTCAGGACATGAATGTTCTGAGTGACAGGTTGGTGCCATCTTGGGACACTCCATGGCCCACCTCAGCTCCACTTTACACCTATGTTCAGTTTTTAGTTAGATAGGAGTTAGAAAACGCATGTCCGCCATCTTGGCAGTGCTTGATGGCCAAAGCCACCATGCTGAGCTTGAAAACTACTGTTCAGAAAACTTATAAGTGCCGTCACAGAGAATTCTTGTGTCTTTATATACGGTCAATGGGGCAGACAATTGTTTTGATGTTGGCAATTCTTGTCGGGTGTTCCTGGCCAGCAGTGATCCGATGGTGACTGGGTGTTGGGGGAAGTCCTGGAACAAGTTTGATCTGCCGCGGCTACACCTCTCAATTTACAGGACTTTCCATTTACGGGAACTGCTGCTACCGTGTTGGTGCCAGATACCACAGGGCATCTTCAGAGTGCATGACTTGGCGGGTCGGAGCTGCTTGGCAGCTGAAGGATCAACAGCAGATTAGGCAGGGGTGGCCACAATGTTTTGGCTCATCAGTGTATACCCCCCTCTATGAGCTGCCTGTTAGGTTTGCATACATGGTCTCTAATTAGATTCATGCACAAACACTGATTTACATGCAGCCCTGTGAAAAAAAAATTAGGCAAGAATTCAGATGTTTACATTCATTCTGCAGCACAATTTTACAGCCAAAGAATTATCTTCAGAAACAAGAAGGACAGGCAGTAGATGCTCTGACCCCCTCAGAGTCTTCAATTTTAACATCATGGATTCAGTCTGGGATTATGTGAAGAGACAGAGGACATTGAGGCAGCCTACATACACTGAAGATGTGTGGAGCAGCGTACCTGGTGGTTTTAGTCGTTGAATCTTCTGTAGGTTTTTTGTGAATTTTCTCCTGGCTTGAGTTTCTTATCCGTGCCAACACAATTTAAGAATCCACATGCATGGATGATTGGATTTTGATGGCATCATGTATGTAGGGCATCATTGGAAGGCTCTTGATGAGAAAGAAATGAAATGAAAAGACTTGAGAAACGAATTGGTTTCTGGTGATTCCTTTGTAGCTTAGGGTGCGTTACCCTGTGTAGCCATGTAACCCTTTACAGTGTAAGGTGCATAAAAAACAGATAAAAAGCCTTAAGTTGTTACCTTCATCATGTGGTGGTATGGTTATGTCTCATAGGAATAGATGTCTTACAGAGATACCCAGAAACGGCCTATCACTAAAGTTCGGCTCCTCTGATTCAGAAATCCCAAAGTAGTGCCCGAGGAAGCGTTTTTCCTCTCATTAACAAAATGGTGAATGATGTAATTCCTCCAAAAAATGGTGTTACATCCCTCCAACAGAGCTCCAGCTACTTGCTGAATTTATGTGTTAGTGCCTGGTTCTCCTTCTATGTGCAATTAGCTTTAATTTGCTGTGATCTCTGCAGCAGTCATAGTTCATAGCCATTACGTTTTGACCTTGTATGTGAGCATTTGTGACTGTTAGGTGACTGTAGAAAGCTGCGACCGCCCCCACAGTGTGACTGTTGTACACACAAGAACTCCACCACCTTTCCTGCGTCTTTGTAGTTCAACTGAGTGTTACAGAATCCTTCCTGCCACTGTCAGAGATAATTGGCACTCCATAAACACATGATAATTGGACTGCTTTGATCCCTGCAATTTCTCACTTCTTGGCCAAAGAGGCACAGCCGTTCTGTCTCATGTTTACCACTAGTCTTTATGTGGCGGCGAGAGGATGGAGGGAGTGAAAGAGAGAGAGAGAGAGAGAGAGAGAGAGAGAGAGAGAGAGAGAGAGAGAGATTCTGTTTTCTTCTGAAGTGTTAAAAGCTCCCTGCAGGCATTACTTCCTGCACCCAGCCTCTTTCGCCATTGTTCCTCCGCCGCTTATGGCCATGACTCATAACAAACTTTCTCTTTCGCACACACATTCGCACACGCAGAGCTTAATCACGTTGTGAAAGTCTCCAAATAATCTTGTTTCTCCTTGTTGGTCCGTGAGTGTCTTTTTTTTTTTTTTCTTTCTCTTTTCCAGAGAGCCAGAGGGCGTACCGTTTTGTCCAAGGGAAGGACTGGGGTTTCAAAAAGTTCATAAGGAGGGACTTCCTCCTGGACGAGGCCAACGGTCTGCTGCCTGATGACAAACTAACACTTTTCTGCGAGGTGAGTTCATTTGAACTCAGGTTGTTTGTGAAGCGGAGCTCAATGTGCCCTCATTTAAAAAAAAAAAAAATCTTTGCAGGAGAAATTCACAGTACAGCTTGCACATTCAGAAATGATAATCCTGCTTATATTATTGGATCATTCATCAGACTGCAAACACAGACACCTGTAATTAACCAAATTTTGATGTTGAGTTGTGTGTGCACTAGCAGAACTGTTTGGATTAACCCGGAATGTATAATTTTATTAAAACCTAATAATAATGCGTGCTGTTGAAATATCTAAATTTCTTGTTTGCATTCGTGGTTTTTGCCTCGGAGTGATCACAACTGTAATTTCGGTTTCACTCATCTTTTTATGCAACACTACCACTCATTCTATGTCCCTGTTAGTGAATAATGTATGTTTTTATTGGTACTACATAGCCTCTGGGTGTAGATCTCTCTTTCATCACTAACATACAAGCTGATTGTCATTCAGGCTGCATGGTGACTTGGCTCCGATTCCTCTGATCCAAAGCTGGCTGCTGCTCCTCATTGAAAATTCCCTTGTTGTTTTTCCGCTGTAACACAGGGGGCAGCAGAGGTCAACTGTCCTCCCTCTCGTTCCCCTCTGCTCCTCGTAATTGAGCCAGAGAGCAGAGAAGAGGTTAAACTTTCTGGATATGTTAATGCCTTAGTTGTAATGCATGCACCCATAAATGTTTAAAAAGCATGGCAGTGGCTGTTTAAAACAATTCTAATTAACCCTGCGGGTATGGAGGAGAGCATGTCTTGAAGTTTTCCCTTTTTGTAGTGGTGCAGTGTGCAAGTCTGTTTAAAGTGTTTCCAAACTGGGCTTATTGACAGAGGGGTAGGAGGGGCAGTGCTGCCTCTCCAGAGCCATGTGGGATGGGGGGTAGAGTTGTGTGTGTGTTTGCGTGTGTGTGTGTGTGTGTGTGTGTGTGTGTGTGTGTAGGAGTATCTTATGCATATATTGTGTGTGTTTGTGCAGGCGTGTCTCGTTGGGACATAATTTTGAGGATGAGACTGTTTGCTGGAGAGGATGAGCAGGAAGAGAGAGGGATTAGTTACCTTGAAGGGCCCTCTCTCCCTGAATTCATCCACTCTCCTGGAGGGGAGGAGGCGGGGTTGCTGGTTCAAGTCCTCGGTGGCCACTTCCTCCCCCGTAAAGATCCGTTGTACTGTGGTAATTAGCCAGCTCTGCTGATGAACATGCGAGGCAAGGCAAACCTGATTTATGTTGCACATTTTACACACAAGGAAAACACGAGTGTGTTTAATATAAAAACTGTGTAAATAGAGAAATAGATAAATAAAAGAGGCAGAGAACATTTCCAGGTTTTATGCTCAGGCTGGAGGCGTCACTATGTTTTCAGGTCATCCATTCGTTTTCCTCGTTCTTGTGAACACGATATCTAAGAACGCCTCAAGGAAATTTCCGAAGTTTGGCACAAACTTAGACTCAACGATGAATTGATTAGAATCGATTGGACCGCAGACGGGTCAGAGTCACTGTGACCTCATGTTTGTTCATATCTTGTGATCGTGATGTCAGCAACATCTGGAACAAACTTTCATTAGGCTCAAACATGCACTGATTACAATTTGGTGGTTGAAGGTCAGTGTGACCTCATGAAACCTGTTTTTGATCTGAACTCAAGAATTCAATTATGACAAAAATTTCACTCAACTGTTTAGTAGGACAAGGATGCAAGGTGGGCGTTGGTTAGCAAGGTCGCCGGTTCGCATCCCGGTGAGGACACCCAGGATCTTTCTGTGTGGAGTTTGCATGTTCTACCCGTGCAGTGTGGGTTCTCTCTGGGTTCTCCGGCTTCCTCCCACAAGTCCAAAAACATGTTGAGGTTCATTGGTGATTCTAAATTGTCCATAGGTGTGAATGTGAGTGTGCTTGGTTGTCTGTCTCTAAGTGTGGCCCTGTGATAGACTGGTGACCTGTCCAGGNCTGATTACAATTTGGTGGTTGAAGGTCAGTGTGACCTCATGAAACCTGTTTTTGATCTGAACTCAAGAATTCAATTATGACAAAAATTTCACTCAACTGTTTAGTAGGAGAGGGATGCAAGGTGGGCGTTGGTTAGCAAGGTCGCCAGTTCGCATCCCGGTGAGGACACCCAGGATCTTTCTGCGTGGAGTTTGCATGTTCTCCCTGTGTAGCGTGGGTTCTCTCTGGGTTCTCCGGCTTCCTCCCACAGTCCAAAAACATGCTGAGGTTAACTGGTGATTCTAAATTGTCCATAGGTGTGAATGTGAGTGTGCTTGGTTGTCTGTCTCTAAGTGTGGCCCTGTGATAGACTGGTGACCTGTCCAGAGTGTCCCTTGCCTTTGCCCTAAGTCGATGGATGGATGTTTAGTAGGTCAAAATGTTGCAACAGTGACTATTTTTTTCAATTATTTGATTAGCCTAAATTATTAATCAGCAAGAATATTCTTTCAACCAGGCAAAGTGACACTTTCATCTAGGTTTATGTATTTTGACTAAACGTATGTCACTGCACCAAGCAGCATAGTACAAGGTGTCAACAAAGGTTTACATGTTAAAGTGCAAAACTGTAAAGCTAAACCTGAAAAAGAGGACTCATTATTTCATGAAGCTCCGAAAGAATCCCCTTAACAAACTGAAAATGTTTGTGGACGCAGTATTTATTTAGCAGCACAGAGCAGCTAAAGCAGGTCATTTTTCACTCACAGTGAAGTTGTGCTCTGACTGTGGTTGTCGCTTCAAAGTCTCAGAAAATATGACTGAATTCATCATCTTTAACTTGTATATGTTTACCGGATGCCATTGCAGTTTTGAAATCAGGATTTTAGCAAAGCAGAGCAGCAGCACAGAAGTGAGCGGTGGTTAAAATGTTCCGTTTTCTGACAACAGAAATAGATACATTTGTTGGGCATTCAGCTGTATTAAACCACAGTGTATGTGAGCACAGAGAGCAGGAGAAAAGTAAATAGATGTAAAACTGAAATTAAAAAAATACTAAATTGAAAAAAACTCATGTAGCCTTACTTCACTGTGACATAATATTCTGCAGAAACACCTTTACTCAACACCACAACCATAAGGAGAGATCATGACCATTACTTGGCTTGATGCTGATTTTTTAGAGACTAAATTTCACCTTCAACTATGTTCACTGCATAAACTTTCTGTGCTGCTTGACTGAAGAAATGTGTGAGGGAGCCACGTTTTAGCATTTGCAGCTTCTTTGCAGAAAAATCAATATTTGAAGTATTGTCTGCTGTCTTGGCTACAACTTTATGTTCTGTCAGAATCGGCTTTATTCAGATCCATCAAAGTCTTTGCTACATATATTTCATGAGTCTAAACGGACATGGATGTAAACTGCAGTTTGACTGGCTGTCAGAAGCATTCAACCTGCAAGGCTGTAATTCTGTGTTTTGAAAAGTAGTCACAGACCCAACGGACGTTTCTTAAACATGTCTGTGTATGCTATTTTCTGGACTCTGGAAACATTTAGCAGAATGCCCACAGATGACCCGAGAGGCATACAGAGTTTATATTCTCAGAGAAAGTCAGAGATGTGATATATAGACAGGCAAAAGTGTTTTAAAATCAATTCTAAAACATACTGCAAGGCAGTGTGTTATAGAAAAAGGGCAGTCTGGAAGTGGGATGTTGTGTGCAGCAGTGATGAAACTGCCAATATCGAGGTCTGGTTGTGTTTTCCACCAACACGTGGGCAGGACGGTTGGCAGAGCTGGTTATTGGGTGGGGTACGGCGGGTGGCTGGTGGTAAGAAAGTGTGGAACGGGTGTTTGAATCTCTTTTCCTGGTCCTTTTCCATGTGAAAGTGATGCCCAGTGTTTACTGTCAGAGACCTGGCTCCGCTTTCGTCCAGATGGTCCCGTCCTGCATCTGAGAGAGCCCCATCGCCCCAAAGCCCAGCTCTCTTCCTCCTCTCTCTTCTCTCATCTCTTCCACTTTTTCTCTTTTCCCCCTCCATCTTATCTCTCATTCAAACCCGCTCTCCTCCTCCTCTCCTCTGTTTTTCCTTTTCATGTCTCGCTGCCTCCCACTTTTGAACATCGGTTTCTTACTTTCCCCTCCCCTCGCGCTCCACCTTCACCTCTCTTCCATGTCCCTTGTCTCTTCCCTCTGCTCAGCTTTGCCACTTTTCCTCCCTCTTTGCCCTCCTTCGTCTCCCTTATTTCTTCCAGTCTGTGTAGTAGAGTGTCAAAGAGGCGAAAAAGCTATGAGGAGAAGCCAGATGACTGTTAGAGAGGGGATACTGGCTCAACCTCTCCTCATGACCCTTGGTCCCTGCACTCGGTTCAGTTGCCTCCAGAGACATTAGGAATTCAGATTTAGCACAGGGAATCTGGCTATATGTCGTGTCAGAGAGGGCCTAAACAACACCAGCCGCTGCTAGGTCTTTCTCTCTCCTTTTCTTTGTGTCTTTCTTTGTCTCCGTCTCTCTCTTCCCCTCTCCATCCCTGCCAAAGCACTGCAGACACCTGCAGGTATTTAATGAGGAGATAGCTCCCATTAAAGGTGCTGCGTTGGCTGTCAAAAGAGAGCAAGAGGGACAGCGAGAGATAAAAAAAAAGGAAGAGGGGAAGGAGGCACAGCGAGCAGAGATTGAAGGAAAGGCCTTCTCAGGAAAAAGTGGGCACACTGGGTGGCATCGAGCTGCAGGGGTGAAGAACAGACCAAGATGAATAATGAAGATGATAGAGGGTAAAAACAAAAGGCCAAGATTGAATTTAGTATGAAAGAGAATGTTTTCATGAGTATGACACGTCTTTTTTTTCTCGTCTCCTTCCTCCTCTAATGAGACGCAAAGGTAAAGGAGGTTAATCCTCTCTCTCTTTCCCCCGTCAGCGCCGCAGGTAACCTCTTGCTTTAAGGTCAAACCATTGCTACCTCGCTGTTCAAGCTATAGATAATGCAAATGCTTAAAATATTTTTTTGGAGCAACAGCAGACACACATGCTAGACGCCCCGTGGCTCCTTCAAGA